TACGGCAACTACAACACTCATCACATTCATTACGTTCATTCAGCCACTACGACAACATGTAATGAATACGATTTGCTGTAGAACATATTGTATGAGCTGTCTGTATGAGCTCATCTCCACTTAAAAGTCAATACATGTTATTTGCACAACATACACGACCTGCCTGAAACGGCGGCTGTAATATATGTTGATGGGAAATTTGTGTATCGGCAATCAGACAACACGCACATCATTTCTGAATCTATATAAAATAATAACTCACAATGTCTGGGCTCTGGGGAGTCGGCACACTTGGTATTCAGAGCTGGCAATTACAGTACTTGTTGATTTGCCAATCTGTTTTATCACAGGGTGTGACTTTGAGGTTGTACATTCAGTGATAATGGCAGCAAAGTGACTCCCAAAGGTTTCTGAGGCAGCTGATTACAGGTGCCAATCTCGAGAAAGCAAGACTCACTTTTCATCATGGAATTTTGACTGCTGAAAATCTGCAACCTGTTATTTTACTTGCCTCCGTAACAGAAATTGTTCCTATGACCATATGTCTCTGAATGTTTGTGCATAGAGTATGTTAGACAACCTCATGTCCAAACCTAAACCTCTTTTTGACATTTTCCTTCTCCATTTACAGGGGAATGTTGAAATCGAGACATACTGGCTGAAAGGAAAGAGGGACAAAGACGGGAATGCTCAGGCAGCGTGTCCTCAGTTTGAGACCCAGACCATCAGCAAGGCTATCAGCAAGGCCACCATCGCAGGCCCTGAGGCCACAAGGGATGAAGAGGGACTGGTAAAAATTCAACTAAGACATGCTTGAATGGTATACACTCTCATTTGCTTTATTGCCGCCATCATCATCTCTAATTTCCTTGAGTCTCCTTCTGACTTTGCCCCCAGGTTTTCCCATTGGTGGCAGGGGAGGACGAGGATGATGTCAAGTCTATTCGCTCTCATCGTATCAAGATGGAGATTTCAGGCCATTCTCTTGAGGAGTCGATGGAGGAGTGCCGGGTGGAGGAGATGTCGGTTCATAAGGTGAGAGGGAATATCTGGTGCTAAGACTTCTAGACTTTTGATGACTCTGACTCCGCTACGACTTTTAATTATTTTTCTTTTCATCTATAACCGTCACCGTCATTCCCCTTCTTATTAGCCCTTAGCACTTACTGTTTTGTTATTGGTGTGATAAAATGAGCTGTTCCTTCCCCAGTCCCACTATAAGGATGCTTTGCAGGACGGCCTCCAGCACTCTCACCTGGAACTGGACTCCCCCGAGTCTGACGGCAGAGACTCCATCATGGAGTCCCCTGACTCCTGTGACTCCCGCTGCTCCAAGAGTGCCATGTGCTCCGTGTCATGAACGAATGATGCTATAGCCAGTAATTCATTTTTATTACTGTTTCTAAAGCACAACTCACTCAAAGCATTGAATGTTAGGCCAAATGTCAGATAGGAATGCGGTTTTTGTTCTTATTTTTGCCTTTTTTGGGTTGAGTTCTTGTGGTGATGCCATGATTATCTCTAAGGATGTGCTGTTTGTACATTAACTAGTCTGTAATGCTTGAAATTTCTAGTGGTCTTACATAGTGTTTTTGCACTGTGAAATCTTCAGTGCTTATTTAGCTCTGACAGGAAATGACAGAAATCAATCGCAGCCAATCGCTGTCAATTTCGCACCTGACACGAGACACTTCTCCAATTATTACCTCCCATAAGTCACCTCAAAGTAATTGCCACTAAAACTTTGCTGCATACCCATTGTGTAACATGTGTTAGTACCACTGCCACGTGGTTCAGCTGGACATGAGCTCAGTAATCTCCGACACTGTTTGTTATGCTGCATCTTGTAGATTTGACATCTTGTTTCAGTCCGTGACAAAATCACTCTCCCCTTCTCCCCTTCATCTTGCATGTCTGAATTCATTGTTCTATATCAGTCTCGTCGAATACACACAGCCACGGCACAACGTAAATGCTTGTCAGCTCAGGGAAAATAAAGCGAGATGACTGCTGAGCCGCATGTGGATTCCTTTGTTTTTGTTTGTCTTGTCACTCAAAGGCACTGGTGTTCAGACTCACATTTACATTTGCATATTTTTTATGCTTTTTTATAGAACACATTACTCCATGGTTGTGGATATTTTGTATTGTGTCTATGTGTTGCTCATGATACATATACATTTGTACATGCATCTTACTCAGTAAACCTAGTACACAAACCCTTTATACCCTTGTATTTTAGCTTCAAAATCTGTCGTAACCATATTGTCTAATGTTCAAAAATCCTGCTCATATCAATCAATCAAAAAAATAAAAAATAAAAAAATAAAACACAGGCACAAATCAATATCAATGTTGAACCAATGTCTCAAGTTTTATGCTTTGGTTTCTTGTAATTACAATTTACTTTATAGTGCTACACATCCATACATACCGTGTAATCCTAACAGAAATACATTAATAGACAGTCAAATATATGTTATCATGGTCCAGTGTTCCAGTCAGACAATGTTCCCCACTGACTGGTTATCAGAGGAGCTGCACTTGTAGGTGGCATCCTCACGGTCAAGGCTGCATCTGTTGGCCATTTGCGAGTCTTTGGGCGATGAACTGATGGAGCAGTGGAAACAGAAGGCGTAGAAGAAAGCGAGCAGGAGCAGGAAGCAGACAACACAAAAAATTATGACAATCAGGATAGTGTGCACTTGCATGTGCACCTCCTCCCATGGGAGCAGTGTGGTGGTGGCCAGGGGGCTGGAGGTCATCGAGGTAGCGTTGTAACTGGGTGGAGGAGTCACTGTGGATGACTGAGGCTTTATGGAGGCCAGGAGGGCGACTTCTGGCATGATGGGAGGATGTGAGCCCCCAGTGGCTTGGGGACACTTTGTTATAGCTTTATGGAGAAATACATGTTTTAGTTTGGTTTACCACATGCACAGATAAACACTCACATTCATTTAATTTTTATGTCATTTAAATTAAAGTGGAGTTTAAGGTGTTAATGTGTATTGATAAATCAACCTGCCAAAAACAGATAAGAACAATAGCATAAAAATAAAAATACTTCTTAACACATCTCTGTGTAATAATAATCCATGTTACAAAAATAACATAATCAATTTATCAACACGACTTTCATATATTTAAAAGCAGCAGGTCAATTATCTTCCTCAAAAAACAACCCAACACAGACATGTGTTTTGTTCTTACCTGAAGTGTACTGTGTCCAGTCTCCCTGAGCAAGACTCAGGCTTTCTTTTGATGAGCACAGCTTGGGAAAATGAAAGAAATGGAGGACAAAAGAGGGAGCGTTGGACTGAAGAAGAGAGGTGGCTGGTGGACCACAAATAACAGGGAGGGTTGCCATGGCAACACCTGCTGAGGGGCCACTAGCATGGAAGTGACATCATATCACCCTAAGATTACTAATGTGTTTTGAAGTCTACAAATGGAGATTTAAAGAGATATTAACAGTGAAATTAGTTTGAAACATGCACAGAACTAAAGCTTCAATATGTACACCCAAAAGCACCTGTAGCTTATAAAAATAATTTATTGTCATTTACTGGTATTCTTCTGAAACTGCAGAATCAAACCTTCAATATCAAAAGCTCTGGAACAGCAATTAATGAAATTAGAGTGTGTCAAATCACTTATTTGCAAAGAGCAAAGCCTCCTCATCAGCCCTGGGATTAATTAGGCTCTCTAATACTGCCCCCTGTTGGTAAAAGAAGCAGCACTGAACAACACACTGCAAAAAGCAAACTCATCTTGCCACCAGTCCAGCCCTTGTGCCGTCTGGTCTCTTTCAAACAGCCATAATGATCCTTTAGTACAAGTTGTAATTGGTCCCACACCCCCTGCTGTGCTTCCTCAACAGGAGCCGATGCCTGAAAAATGTTTTAGGACTTGCACCAAATTTTAGTTGCCATGGAGATAACTAATTTTGTTAACACTCAGAGCAAGTAAACCAGAGAGCGGTATTTTTCCTAAAACCACTCATAAATACCAGACAAAAGCAAAAAAAAATATTCATTAGCATAATTTCATGTAGAGTAGGACACAGAACAAAGCCTGCCAGATGATGTGATTTTAGAGTGCTTTCAGATGGTTAATTACAGCTACAGACAATAGACACAAAAGATCCATTAAATCCAACTGCAGCTGAGTAGAGCTAAAATGGTTGAATGGAGGACTTAGCCTACACCAAGGTTAGTCTAAAGGACAAATGTGTGAAGAAAGACCATCAGGCTGTGTGGGCCTTCTGACCACTGTGGTTCCAGTAAAGATGAACCACATGTGGGTTAAGACTGAGGAAGTCTTCTAGATCAATGATCTGAACAACCTTTTTTTGTACATCTCCGAACAGAAGGCGAAGAAGGATTTTACCTCAAAGTTGCTCATGCAAATAGACTATTAGTACTTCTGCTGGGAGAACACAAAGTGTTCACAGCTGGACATTATATGTGTCATATGGCCAACTACCTCTGTGAAAAGGGCTCCTGACAAGCTATAACAGACAAACACATTGCTGCACAGAGACTGCATGCTACGTAACAGTCCCAGAATTAACATATAAAACAAACATTTAGAGAAAAAATCTCCCTGCTGCAAATTAGTCAGCCTCTCTGCATGTAATTTCCTGCACTGTTTGTTCTTCTGTGCCTTGAAGATTTGATATCTTGCTCTGCCATGCGGGTGTATAATTGTAAACTCTTCTCTCTCACTCTTGCTTTTCAATTAGTCTCTCTTTCACTGTACAACTTAAGTGTGCGTCACCATGTGGAAATAAAGCAAGTTGACAGCAGAGGAGTGGATTGGCTTGTTTGGTTTTTTTTTTCTCTTGTCACTCATGGAAGCATTGATATTTCACAGTCACATTGTTTTCTGTCGGTCACTGATTTGAAAATATTATTTGACCATTAATATGTTGTTTGTGCCTGTATGCGTGCATTTTTGGAGATTCCTGATGGCTACATTGGATTTGAAAAGAAAACAGCTGAAATGACTAATTATTTTATTGTCAAAAATCTCAAAACACATCCTTTACACTCACACTGAGCTATGTAACTGACAAACCCCAACAGTTCTACATGGCTACACACTTTTTCTCCAGAATGCACACAAATTCACCAGACAAGGGTTCTTGGAATAAGGGGATCAAAAACATACATTTTTAGGACTGAACAATTATGAATGAATTATGAAGTGTCCAATTTACTTATTGTAGCTAAAATATGTCTTTAAATTAGCTACATTTGCAAAATATTCATAAAAATTACACAAATTGTAAAAACAGAATTATCATTGAAATCTGTGTGGGGAAGCAGGATCTGTCATATGTGGGTGTACTGATATTACATGAAGTGAAATTGATGATGGTTCTCTGTTTGACTCAGTGTTGTTTGGGACGCTGGTTCACTTCTTCTTATTCACAATGTTGTTGCAAATCCAGTTCATGCCATCCTGTCGAGGAAATGAGAATAAAACTGAATCAGTTAAATACAGTAAAATAGTCAAAACCATCAAACTCAAAGAGGTAGTTAATATAAATAAAGTCCGTTCAGACTGATTTCAGTACAACATTGTACAGCAGGAAGGCTGGGAGTACTTTTACATGGTTAATTAGGTTCCATCTGAGGAGAAATCAATAAATCAAAGCTGGGACTAGGTCTGACCTGAACTCCCTCCCCAGACACAGCTGAGCAGGCCTGAATCTGCCACTCACGGTCCCGGTACGTATGCAGGTTGAGTCCCTCAGCGATCTCACTGGCCGGTGACGCTGTGGCCAGATCCTGCTTATTGGCAAAGATGAGCACCGGAACGCCCTTTAGATTCTCCTCGTCAATCAGCTCGGACAGCTCCTGCACACATACAGTTTTTGACTGACATGTTAATTTAAGGTTCTTTTGCTGTCATTCTTGTTCTTGAGTGTATTTGCATGCAGAAATGACAACTGTGCATCAAGCTCACCAGTCCCGTCTCCTCAAACCGCTTCTTGTCTGCACTGTCAATAACATAAATCTGAAAGAACAAATATGTAAGAATAAATTAAAATCCGTCTGAAATGTGAACACAGAAAATTCACAGACAGTTTCTATTTGGCCTTAACAGTTTGCATGTAAAAACCTGAAGGTGTCAGTGACTCCTTTTGGTATACAGCTGCTGTTGTACAGCAGGCAAAAGTCAGTTAATTGAGAATACACGATACACTTGTCAACCTTTCAAAAATGTTCAACAACATTAGAGTTTTACTAACAAGTTCCTTCATCAAGATACAATTACAGTGCCTAATGTATAGTCCTGTCCTGAGTATAAACATCAGTATCAACTGTTTGTGCTGTGACACTTTATATATCCTATTAAACTTCAATCTCATGGATTTTTAATGCACGTAATGCTTTTTGTAGTGGATTTTCAAAAACATAAAGATGAGCACATAGGGAATAAAACAAATGTTTCGCAGGGGGAAATTTAACTTTGAACTGAAACACAATTAAAGTCACTCACCAACAAGTCTGTGTTTTCCAGGTACTTTTTCCAGAAAGGCCTTATCTTCCTCTGTCCTCCAATGTCCCAAACATTAAGTTTCATGCCATGAGAGGCAACACTCTTTATGTTGAAGCCCTGAAGAGAAACACAAAGCCGGAGTCACTGTACTGCACATCACCACATTCAATTTAACACAGTTCCAGAGCGCAGCACCTGGAAAGCCTTGCAAATGGTTATGAAGCAATTCATTAAGCGGCAATGTACTAGAGCACAGGTGTGTGTGTTAAATTAATCACTGTTTGGTTACTCTGTATTGTAACCTTGTTATGTATCAGCAGGAGTTCAGCTAGGTGTTTATAAGGAAATGGTCGCTGTGTTAATCCAAAGCTGTTTTTCATAACACAGCTCCTTTCTGTTTCAGTCGGCGAGGTTGTATAACAACTTTATCCTGAGGGCCAGTTGAGGAGCAAATCTGAGGATAAGACTGGAAGGATCAAGTGCAGTGTATGTGTTTATGTGTCAGGTCTGATTTAGCTTTGTGGTGATTATTGCTATAGCATACTGGACTGCATCCTCTCTGCCTGCTGTCTGATGAGCCCTCACACTTGTCCAGGACCTGGCAGTACATCTGCTCTATGTCTTGTCTTGTGAGAGTAATGTGAGGGTGTTAGACAATCATATAAGAGGTTAGATAATCACATCAAAAGGAGGGTGATAAAACACCGTTAGGATTTTCTCAGAAAATGTGTTGAGAGCAGGAAATCTCCTGCTGAAAGGTTATTTAACATATGGTACAACAGGATGATCTGACATCCGCAAACCATTATTTTACTGATAAGTGGTTAAAGTATGTGTACTGTAAGACCAATCATTTCATTTCACAGCGTGTCAGAAAAGCAAAGGTCATCTGAATCCCATTAATATCAGCGAAAGCATGCGTTGGTCCAGCTGGTCTCACAAGATTAGATACAATCCCCCCTGCCACTTATAGTGCTAGGTTACAGTACCATGAAAAATAATCTTTTGAAAAAACCCACCAGACAAACCGCATCGGCCTTTAAATAGTAGTAACTTGTTATTTAACAAAATATTGATTTAGTGTCTAAAACAATGAACAGGAAATGATGTAATTAAGTGCATCAGCTGTTCATCGTGAGATTAATTAATTAAAATGAAGGACCCAAAAACATCATTTGCAGGCATGTCAGTCAGCACTGTGGCGTACAGTAACTCTCCTTCAGGTCATGATGCGTGTGAGTGTTTGAGTTTTAACATATAACTTCGGCTCACCTGTGTTGGTGTGATGGTGTTTACATCCTCAGAGGCGAGGCTCTTCAACAGGGTGGTTTTGCCGGCGTTGTCCAACCCCAAAAGCACTATCCTGACCTCCTGCTCTGTGGATCCCTTCAGTTTCTCAATGACAGAGAGTAAGCCCTGCATGTGGGGTGGAGGGTGGGATGGGTGGCGGGGGGTAGGGCAGACCAAAAACTTACTGCACAGCATTCATTAGTTTATGTAGAATATACTTCTTTTCTTTTCTGTTTAATGTGATCTGCCATTTGAATTGTATAATATCTTGGTTTGGAATACAAAACCATATAGCTCAGGGGCTCAGCTATTTTTGACATAACATTACTGAAATATATGTATATGTATGTATATTACTATGATAAAGGTTTTTGGTCCTTTCCTCAGGGAATGCGATGTTTCTTAGATACACTCTGGAACATCCAGATAATATCCAGAAGTAAATAAAAAGACAAACACTGTTTTTAGACACGCTTTACACGTCAAAACTGACGTCACTGACCTCTTTCTGATTTGAGGTCAAAGCTCCCCTTATATACAACACCACTGAGCACGCATGCATGCCCATCATGCTCCACCAATCTCCAGCCGACCTTACTGTATAGTACCCACCCCCATTCTATAAGAATTAATCCGTTGCTTCATTTAGAAAAGGACTGGTGTTGATTAGAGGTCCATTCATATAATGGTGCACTGTTTAATGTGATTAGTCTGAAGCAAGGTTGCACAACCACAGACTGCCACATTGCTGACAAAGAGGCACTGTAGATTTAAAGATTTGATTCAAGGTGATAGGTACTACAGTGTGTGTGATTAACTGTACATCAAAGGGCATAAGAGGTTCTATTTAGACGCAGAATCATTATATCTACATATCACAACTAGGCTATTTAGATAATCCAACCTATATAGCAGGGAGTTGTTTCCTAAACAGACATACTGTAAAACCCATATTGGCAAACACCTTTTGAGTCATAACCAACTTTTAAGTAGTTATTTTTATCAAACAAATACAGAAAGTTCACATTTGGCTTTATAAGTCCTGTTCCTCCAGATCAGGTCACTTACCTTTTGAGCTTCTCCCATGGTGGCGTGTTTCCTGTGGCTTGGCTGGAGGGCTGCAGCTACATTCTCCAGTGAAGCTCACACAGGTGTGTTAGTTATCCAGGTCACCCAGGTTAGCTATCCAGAAAAGGTACCAACAGCCTCTTGTCTTTTTCCTCTTCTTCTTTTTCTTCTGTAAACTTAGGTGGGTTAAGTGCTATGTGTGTATGCGATAGTAATGTCTACCTGGGCGTCAATTGCTCCTCACTGTCGCCGTGGAGTTAGCAAGCAGGAAGAGGGGGAGGGTGGATGGGGCTGGGATTAGGAGGCCAGAATTAGCCCTGGTCATCCATGCAAAGGCCACCCCATCTGCCCTCCCCCTTCCTCTGTCCATCCCTCCATCTCCACTTTGCAGTGGCTTTACCTGGATTATCCCTTAGCCACCTGCTATAGGAGGAAACTGAGTAAACACTCCTTCCTGACACACTCACACACAAAAATAGAAAAACTTTCAGACATTTTACCATATGGCTGAGAGGTGGGGGGAAGCTGATATTGGAGAAAAACAAAGACACTCTGGGCAGCTTGAGGACTGGCAGTATGCATACAGTTTAACACATACACTTCAAAGGATTACATCATGTTGTTGAACCAGGGAATTTATTATTTCTGTGCTCATACATCAACTTTCAAATCCCATCAATCCATCTCTCTCGGAGAGGTTTGGATACCATTAACATCCCATATATCCATTACATGCCAGCCGCTATAATGCTGCTCTGTGTGGCTCATCTGCAGTGTGCGTTCCAGTGAGAAGAGCATTCAGTGGGATTAGTTTGAGCAGGCCTCCTGTCCTGTGGCTGGATTAAAACATTTCTAGGCTCTTTTCCTCAACTGAACAGGCTTTCTGGTTAGTGGGCGTGGTTGACGTTAATGCTGTGTTAAACAATGGATACACCCTTGTCCGGAAAAGGCTGTACATAAGCTTGTAACCTCACCTGACCACACACTCTTAGCTTCAAAGACAGAGATTAAAGAGGTTTTCTTTCTATATGAAAAAACTACAACAGAAACTTATCAAACAATATTAGTATTCATTGTTGTTCAATGTGATAGACTTTTTCTTATTTAAGACCCTCTTGGTGTGAATGGAGCTGGAGCACCACTCTGTCCAATCTGTGCCCTCTGTTTCATCCTCTCTTTGTGTTTAGCTGCAGAGAGAGAGCGAGCGAGCGAGAGAGAGAGAGAGAGAGAGAGAGAGAGAGAGAGAGAGAGAGAGAGAGGAGGGGTCACACTTAGAAAAAAGGTACATAGAGATTCTGCAAAACTTAATGAAGTAGTTTCACATTTTGGGAATATGTTTATTTGTTTTCTTGTAGGAAGTTAGATGAGAAGATCCATACCACTCCCACGTCTGTATGGTAAATATGTAGCTGGAGTCAGCAGTCGTTAGCTTAGCATAAAGACTGGAAACAGAGGAAAACAGCTAGCCTGGCTTTGTTCAATTATAACAAATTTTACTTCACTTCCCAGCACTGAGTAGTTTACTTGATAATGAGCAGTAAATTGAGTTTTCCGACACTTATTGCTCATCGTCACTTTGCGTCATCATGTTAATTTTCAAATCTATCAAAAATGCATTGCATTGTGAGATTGTTAGTGGAAAGGAGTGTAGTATACATGCTTTTACACACTCAGTACATATGGTACACTATATATAGTAAATACAGAGTGATTTCTTGGCTAGGGGTAGTAACGTCCTGGAGTCTCCGCGGGTTGCCAAGAAAACCCATAACAAACCAAAACCCTATGTAAAACCGCAGTTTTTATTCTTCAGTTTTTGTGTGAATTAAACAAATCAGATATGTTGTGTTAATTGGTGACCTTTAGAGGTTCTAGCGGATGGATTTAGTTAGCTTTGGACAGAACCAGGGTAGCTGTTTCCAGCCTTTGAACTAAGCTAATTGGCTGCTGGCCTTTTATTTTACAGATAGAAAGCCAAATAAGCATATTTCCCAAAATGTTGAACTATTTAAGCTTTAATTATTTGAAATATACCAGTAACATACACCTACAGCATATCTATCATCATCATTTGCATTCACAAATATGTATTTGGGAAAAGAGATGGTTGACTTAATTGTTTTTATTCTCCACTCTATTAGGCCCCTGAACTGAGCTCTTACCGTTGTCTCTTTTCAGCTTGAACTTCATAGCCAGCCCCATAATCACAACCAGGACCAAAGCGGCAACACCACAGATCACCAGGATCACCACAGTGCTCTCTGGATGAGGACACAATTACAAAGGCAGACACATCAAGGGTCAGAGGTGTGCATTTCATTATTCATATCTTAAAAGCCATTCAATTCAGAAATTGTAAAATTGACTTTTTTTTCTATCTGTGGCTATGTGAAATATGTGGGGAGATGTATACTTACCGTTTACCTTGAATTCATGTGGCAAAGACTCATAACAGCCATATTCACTTTTCACAAAGCAGATGTACTGGCCTGAATTATGTGAAAACACTTTTTCAAGAACCAGTTCGCTTTGATTTTGGCCTTCCGGGATTTCCTTCTCATCTTTCTTCCACCCAAACATCAGAGTCAAATTGAGAAAGTTATGGACACATGTTAGAGTGACACGATCACCCTCTGCTGGCGCTGACCCACTGCTGCTGACACAAACCTGAAAGTCTGATGGGAAGAGTATACTTAAGGGGAGGGAACCAACAGTGACAGTGTTAGGTAATCATAGACAGATATGAAGATATTGTCACAGTTTACCTTTTGTGCAGTTATATTGATTATCTGCAGATGCTAAACATGGAAAGGAATGAATACAGTCGCAGTCAGCATTTTATATAAAACAGAGCATACCTGAGACACTCCCTGTATCCATAAAGTTAATTTTAGAATAAATCATAACATGCAACCTCATTGTACTACCACACTTCATGGCCAATTACTGTTTCTCACGTACCACATGTAAAATTCAAAGGATTTATCTTCAAGCAAACAAATTAAAAGAAGGATGGCACTAACCATTGAGGCATTGTGCTGGTTTGGCTGGGCAGAATAGACAAGAATCTATAGGGAAAAACAGAGATGGAAAGAATAGCATTAAGAAAAAAAATGTCTTTGCCTTTCACCTTGCAATTATTTATAAGAGACAATGTTCATGTTCATTAGCTTCTACATACCATTTCTAGATGTAGTCTATAAACAGAAAGAGAGGTTTCGGTTGATTTCTTTCTTTCTTTTCTTTACCTGTCAGAGGTTCTTTTTTGATGTCACATTTCAGACACTGTTCCTGCCCAGTGTCAGAGCCAACGACAGCTGGAATATAAAACAAATATAAAATAAAAGTGTAAAGCTAAACAGGCATACATATTCAGAGAGAATAAGAAAAAAATATAAAAAACTGTAAAATGAAAAAGTGGCTCCTTACCTATGAGGAGATGACCAAGCAAAAGACACAGACATATCTTTCTCATCACCATTCTCTGTTAGAAAAGACTCATATTAACTTCTAAAAGCTACAAACATTTAAACATATTAGGAGCAGAAAATGCCATCTGACTGAAACATGTAACGTCTTGTACATTAGGTATTAAATATCATTATAAAGCTCGAAAAAATAACATTATAATGCTCAAATGTTTGTCTTGTTTTACCTGTGGTGGTGTTGTTTCCTCCTCATGTACAGCTGAATGATGACTCTGCTTTGCCTAACCTAATAGTCTTTGCATCAGAAAAGGCACAGCAGTCTGATTATAAACACTGATACCAATGCAAATAAATTCATTCCTGGAACATTATATCACAAACAATACCGCTGTTTGTATTTCTTGCAGGTGGTAGCGATGGCAACGATGACAGTTAGGCTGCTGTTGCTTTTTATGTTGTTGAGTAACCTTTAGGTGAAACTGATGGGATTTTTACATTTGTTACAGAAACTGAAACACAGGTCTGCTGGCGTTTTGTGTGTTATCAGCAAAACAGTGGTTTACTTAAGCATGCTGTCGACTGCCTTTGCATACATGACATAATGTGACACTTTTACGGCCCAATTGACTAAACTTGAAGAACTGAAGCTTGGAAATACATTTTTTTAATCCATCCATTGATTCATGCAGTGGCCAGTAGAGTGTGCTGCTGGTTATCAGTCTTTTTTCTTAACATTCTTCCTGTTCACGGTCAGCTGTGGCCTATTCCTCAATGCACTGGGTACACATTGGACAGATTGCAAAACACACTCATAAACCTAACAGCCAAAAGTTAATTTAGAGTTTTAGTTAACCAAACCTGCATGTGTTTGGACTGTGGGAGGAAAACAGGTGTTTATGCAAACTTCACACAGAAATAACCAAACAGGTTTTGGATTCAAATGGTCACCTTAGCAATTTTTCATCAAAGACACTGTACTGTTATGAAAGTCAGGTTGAATCATTGACAGTATAAATAGGCCTGTCATTCTAACCTCAACCAAACCTTACTGTCTAGCCATAACCTGTTGATTATTACATTAATTTAAGCTTAAAATATTAACCTGCTATATATGTATTTGGGCATACAGCATCCAATATATATTTTCAGTTTATACCTGAAGCTTCTTGGGTTATATTTTTAGTTTGTGGTCAGTGGAACTACTGGATAAAAGTCCAATAAATATGCTTTAGTCAGTGATCCCCTGATGTTTCCCTTAGTGCCACCAGCAGGTCAGTATTTTTACATGTCAAATATTCAGTTTATGACAGAACAGTTGTATCTCTGACAAAGATACTGGATATATTAATGCTCTGATGAAGGCCATGAGGCCGAAACATTAGCATATTTTTCTGACATGGTCAAAATAAAGTGGTGTGGTTGAGATTAGTCAACTTTTTCCTGCAACCTACACTTTATGCCTTTCGTTGAGCTGCACATAGCCACTGAGCTCTGATAGCCAAACAGAACCATACCTGTTGACAAAACGTCAGCTAATTGACTTCACCTGGGTTCCTCGCTAGTGCGCATGTCAGAAATCATCGACTAGGTAAGACTGAAGCTGTTAATGAACTCCGACCTGTGTGAAACTTGCAGGGCTGTGTTGGTTTATTGTCATCTCTCTCCTCTTCACTCACAGTACGCTTGTTTCCCTGAAGATGGTCGCTTTCAGAGGACTTTATCACAGGTTCTCCCACCTCGCAAAAGTGGCAGCACAAAAGCAGTTCAGGAAATATGAGAAATGTTGCACCATAACCGCTGGCATCATGGCGGACAACAAGGTATGACCATACATGTCACACGCACGCACACACACGTATGTGCATGCGTGCTTAACATTGTTTGGCAATGCATTTAAGTATAGTGTACAATTTGCACACACTACTTGGAATATATGTGCAGTCTTTTAATTGCTATAGTTGCAGAATAATACCCATTTAATTTAGCACGTCTGACGCAATGTGTATGTATGCTATGGTACACTGCACATAAGTTTATTTATTATTTTTTTTTTTTTACTATTCTGAAGGCTTCAAAGTGAGATTGGAGTTGTTGAAGCCACCTACCACCTATATCACATCAAACCACGAATTTCACTTCTGGGCACTATCTTTAAAATAGTTGAATATCAGGAGGAAGCAGTGTGGGTTGTTTTTTTTTTTAAAATAACTTTCAAGTAAAGGGAAACTATGACTAAAAAGGAGAACAAAACGTGCAAAAAAACCCATCTCGGATGCAGCACTGTAGTTGTATAATCGCTGCTATAGAGCGTATAATGGTTGTAAACTGTGTCTAGTAACTCATACAGTGACTACATCAAAAGCGGAATGTCTGTGTTCCCACATCACAGTGTTTCTCAAGACGTAGGCTGAGAACAGTTTGATCATAGTAACCATACTTCCTCTTTTGTGGCTTGTTGCTATGGCAAGACTTCCCTTCCAGGCAGGAAGTGACAGGAAGACCCAAGTGATGAGTTTTTGAGTGTGTGTGTGAAGAGTGTGCATCATGTTTGGGTGGAGCACTTTACTGTGTCCCTTCACGGTGTGCACATCGCATTCAGTCGACTTCGGCTTGTAGTCTGGTGTCTGGGCCACCATGGCGAAGAACTGCAATGCTCTAGGGATTCCTATTGGCCACATGGTGAGTTGGCAACACTCTTGTTAGGTTTGGTTTGGTTCTGCAGCTGTCCTTTTGGATCCAGTGGTTTGTTTATGCAAGAATACATTTAGGGGAATACGTTGGAGTTAAGTGTGTTGTCTGTTCTGAATGCCTCCTTTTTAAGTAGAATCCTTGTAATTAATTGCCAAACAGGAACGTCTTTTTAAATCGTGGACTACTTTTTTGACAGTCTGCTTTTTTAACCGTGTTCACACTGCTGAGTTGATGATCCAGGTCGGAGTACCAAGAGTACGGTAAACAGTTTTATGTGTTTGCTTGTATCATCTATCCCAAATCCTTCAGCAGTGCCTGAACCAACCATGCTGTGCAGCTACAGTTGGTTGCTGCTGAAAACAGACCGGGCCCGCTTGAGTCAGAAGCGGAAATCAAGCCATGCCTGTTTGCCAATCTGTCGTGTGTAGGCCGAGTTGGCTTTGGTGTACTCTGTTACGTTTCTTGATTGGCTCAGCGCTGCAAAAGGTGTGAAAAGTGTCTATAAAGATGCATTTCAGAGAGGCAGAGAAGACCTGGATGTTGCTATGGTTTAAAAAAAAAAAAAAGAAGGGGGCACCCGTGTGTTTTCTGTGATTTTGGAAATGTTCCTACAATTGGTGCTGCATCAGACTCTCCCGTTTGCATATCTCGTCTCTGCTTGAAAAGGATTTGCAGAGAATTCCTAATCCCTCCGATATTTTTCTTTGCCGTGGTGTATGAGAAGCGAAAGGTGCACAAACAAGGCGTTGATGAATCATCTGCTTTCACTTTGTGGAGAGCGGTGGATTAAGTGTGTGTGTTGGTTTCTCTTGGCAAGTGCGTTCGTAGGCACTGACATGTTGTGTTTTTGGAGCCAGAGTTTGAGCAGTAGAGCAAAAAAAAAAAGAGAAGAAAGTTGAAGAGGTGGAGCCTCAGTGGAGCTCGCACCTGCAGAAACAACCAGCCCTTATCAGCCTTATATGGATAAGATTATCAATTGCCTAGAGCTGTCATCTTTGAGCTGCTGCTGAACAGAATTATTATTCACTTTCTCTCTGCTTGCACTAAAAGTCTCACACACATACATTATACTTTGTTACTGACAGTTTTTTTAAGGATACAACTTTGATAATGTGAATACATTCTTCTTGTGTTAAGGAGCACAGATCACTTCATTGCACGCTGAAGAAGATATTAAATATCAAGTATAAAAGGGGGTGAAACAAAGTATAAGGGATTCAAGTCAAGATAAAACTTCATAGGTGGCACAATACTCAGATTGGTTGTTTGTCCTTTTTCATTTGTATATCAGTAATATGTTGAATTACTTCTGTACTTTCCAGTAACTCAAAGGGCATTGAAGCCGTGAGTGACTGCTTAATGGTGTCAATGTTACTTTCAGGTTTATTTTTATACACTTCACACCCTGATTACCGGTTGCTACTTCATAGAAATAACTTGCATAGACTGACAAACTCACGCACATTCACACCTCTGGGCAATTTTTAGAGTTAGACCATTTAGTGCATGTTGGTGGACTGTGGGTGGGGGGGTCCAGAGCATTGGGAAAACCCAGACAGACAAAAAAGCACATGTAAACTGCACAGAGCAAGGTGTGAGTTATCTTAACATCCATGATTTCCATCAATTTCCGTTCAAACAGATCCAGTTAACCTGCTGACATACCTCCCTGGGGGGGTTTGATCGATATCTATGTACCTCGATAAAATGCAAACATGGTTGTCGGCACAGGTTTATGTGCAAAGAGTTTGCGTGATTCATTGGCAGTATTTATAACAATGAAAACGCTCGAAATGAAACTTTTACAACATGGGAATTTTGTGAGCTCTGAAAGCTGAATGAGAGCTATTGTCATCAGTTTCACAACCACTTCCTGTGAAAGCAGCTTTGACTGATTGCACTACATTGTCAGAGGAAAAAAACAAAAGGCAAAACACATGCAGCTGGTGTTCATATTTCACTTCCTAAATGTACGCCAGTATGCTTTATGAATATATGTCTAGCTTCTGTATAAATACTATTTTGAGTACAATATGTTATGTACATTGTAAAACTGTTGCTGTTATATTAAAATGTACGTCCACACAGTTTTATCAGTGCTGTTTTTTCTTTTGTGATTTATTTTTTGTTTGTTTTACTTTTGATTGTCACATCTGAGACAATGGGTAATGAATTTAAATACAAGTCCTTTTGTTTGAATGATTCAATCAAGTGAATGTTGAATTTCCCAGCTACTACTAGAGGAATTATGCGTAAATACAATAATACTCCATGATTAGGCCTCAAGGTGTATTCCATAACATAAGATTTTTTTTCTGTGTGTGTGTGTTTTTCTGCCTACCTTATCCATCTCTCTCTCTCTCTTTCTCTCTCTATTCACAGAGCCAGGCAGTGTCAGATGGAGGTAAGCAGAAACAACCAGCGTTTTCTCTGAAACTGAAACATGTCTGTGCATGACAGAAGAAAATGTCTCACTCTGTCGCATTCTCAGTCATGATTTTCTGTGCTGATAAATGGGTGTGTCTGTGTCTGGATATGTTGTAGAATTGAACATGACTGCACGAGGCTGTGGAGGCAGCAGCTCCAGCCTTCCAGGAACTCCGGGCGGAGAGGCCG